CAGGAGAATGGCGTGAACCTGGGAGGCTGAGCTTGCAGTGAGCCGAGATCCGGCCACTGCACTCCAGCCTGGGCGACAGAGCGAGACTCCGTCTCAAAAAAAAAAAACAAAAAAAAAAAAGAAAGACACAGTTTCTGCTCTTTTGGAGCTTACACTGTACTGGGAGTGGTGGGAGCACAGAGACAATCAACACTTAAGAAGAAAATTCCAGAGTAGTAGTGCTATGAATGCAACAAATCAGAGCAAAGTAGACAAAGGTGCTGGGGATTGGAGGAATGGCTACTTTAGACAGGGCACTTAGAGAGTGCATCTTTGAGGAGCTGATTTTTTTTTGGCTGAGAACTGAATGAGGGTATGGAGCAAAAAAGTTTCTCCTCTGCCCTCTAAAGATTTGCTGAAATTAACTGACAAACGACAGAATAACAGGAGAAACGACATACAAGTGTATTAGTGTGCAAGTGTGCACAGCAGTCATACAAAATATGAGGCTCAAAGAAGGAACAGGTGGCTGATGCTTACTTAAATGGCACCCAGGAAAGAGGGAGATGGGGGAAATGTAGGCAATTTTGAGGGCTAGCAAATAATTTTTAGGGGAAATGAATGAGCCCCAAGAACAGACAATGCCTTGGGACAAAGTTCTTATGAGCTCTGGAGGAGGTGGCAACAAATTGTGGGAAGGTGAGGGGCAGAGCTCCGTTGTGAACAAAGGTTGTCTTATGCTCATAAAGTCTCCCAGGTAATCTGTTATAGCTCCCCTCAGAAGAATAGATTAAAAGTCTCTCTAGGTGTAGTGGTGAGTTGATGACTTTTAGTTTTTATTCTTCTCTAGTGGTTAATCTTTCCTGGTTATTTGATGAGTTTCCTGTGAAGAGGGATTTGAGACAATTGCATTTCTTTTGGAAGAAATTTTCTGAGATAAGGGAACTTCTAGAGAGAGCTTCTACCTGCACTTAGGATGGGGGTCAGTGGGCAAGAGAAGGTTAGAAAGTCCTTGGTTCTAAGGCAGCTTCTAAGACCTTCCCATTTCTTTTCATTCAAAAGTGCTCAGCATGCTGTAACCTCAGGACCAATCCAAACTGGGCCTACTCTTTTGATAATAGAATGTCATGTTCTCTTGTAGGTATGACAGAGCCGAAACTCCAAGTCATGTCAGCAGGACATGCACAATAGAAAATGCTTTGACATCTAACATCACCCAGAACCAATGATTCCTCCCTGTAGTACCAAGAAGACCTAGACATGAACAGAACCTAAATGCTAGAACTGTTTCAGGAGCAAAGGGTCTGTTGACCAGAAAGATCCAGGGTGAAAATCCACCTCAACATACCCGTGTAGTCAAATTTGAAGCCCTCCAATCAGACCCTGCCAAGCAAAAATTCCTAATTCTTTTCCTTGCCCTCTGTATTAGTCTGTTTTCACACTGCTGATAAAGACATACCTGAGACTGGGCAATTTACAAAAGAAAGAGGTTTAATTGGACTTATAGTTCCACGTGGCTGGGGAAGCCTCATAATCATGGCAGAAGGCAAGGAGGAGCAAATCACGTCTTACATGGATGGCAGAAGGCAAGGAGGAGCAAATCACGTCTTACATGGATGGCAGCAGGCAAAAACAAAAAGCTTGTACAGGGAAACTCCTGTTTCTCAAAACCATCAGATCTCATGAGACTTATTCACTAACACAAGAACAGCACAAGAAAGACCTGCCCCTGTGATTCAATTACCTCCCACTTGGTCCTTCCCTTAACATGTAGGAATTCAAGATGAGATTTGGGTTGGGATGCAGCTAAACCATATCACCCTCTGACCCCTTAAAACTTGCCCCAGTTAGGGAAAATTAGGGAGACAGATTTGAGCCATGCTTCCAGTCTCCTTGCTGGGTGGCCCTGCAATAAAGCCTTTCTCCACTCAAAAGCTGGTACCATAGTATTGGCTTCTGTGTGCATCAGGCAGTAAGCCTATTTGCTCAGAAACAATACTAAAGCACCATACTTTGGGGTATCATTCTCTGAGCCCCAACCAGGGGTCATTCCTGAGGCCATGAATGAGAGAGAGAGTTTCTGGATGAGGAAACTTGACCCCAAGTCTTGTACCATCTGGCCCATGCTGACCATCATGGTCTCACTTTATCTTCTCTCCAACCACATTGACCTTTCAATTCCTCAAACATACCCATTCTGGCTGGTTTCAGAACTTCTGCTCGGACCACTTTCCTCTCCTCCCTCCCTCTTCCCCCTCCTGTCTCAAACCCTCCAATGTAAACTTCAGCCTAGCCTTAAATGTCACTTCCTCTGGAGCCCTTTTCATGGTCCCTGGTTTACATTTAGTCCACACAGCAAACTGTAATTGTCCTCCAAACCACTTCAAAGAACTGTAATCATTTAATTATCTATTTATAAGTATCTGATGTCTGGGTTCTCCACTAGAGTGTAAACTTCATGATGGTAGGAACCATCATTGTTCTGGTTACTTTTGCTCTCAGAGTGTAAGAGTGCCACATTGTGCCTGGCACGTAGCAGGAACTTTGATTGTTGGTTGAAAGACAGGTTGCCTGACAGGCCACGCATCTCAAGTACTGTACTTGGATGTGTGGTAGGAAATAAAATGGATCCGTTTAGGAGAGGCCTTGAACCCAAGGTGGTTAAACTTGGGTGGTGATTGGGCTGGCAGCACAATAGCATGTGTTTGCATTTGAACTGTGGAGTGATAACCACACTTTTAGAGGTTTCCTCTGGAAGACACTTACTGGATGGGTTGGAGTGGGACAGACTAGAAGGAGGGAGACTCAGTAATTAATTGTTGAA